TACTACTACTACTACTACCACTACTACTACTACTACTACTACTACTACTACTACTACTACTACTATTACCACTACTACGACTACGACTACGACTACGACTACGACGACGACTACTACTGCTACTACTACGACGACTACGAGTACGACTACGACTACGACTACGACTACGGCTACGGCTACGGCGACGGCTGCTGCTACTGCTACGGCTACGGCTACGGCTACGGCTACTGCTACTACTGCTACTACTACTATTGCTACTACAACACTACTACTACTACTACTACTACTACTACTACTACTGCTACTACTACTACTACTACTACTACTACTACTGCCACGGCTGCTCTTAGCACAACAGCAACAACCACCACAACCACAACAACAACCACCACAGCCAACACAGCCACCACAACCACAATCAGGACCACAACCAACAACATCAACACATACACCACCAACGACGCATACACCACCACCACCACCACCACCACCACCGCCGACCACAACCACAATCACGACCACAACCAACAACACCAACACATACACCACCAACGACGCATACACCACCACCACCACCGCCGACCACAACCACAATCACGACCACAACCAACAACACCAACACATACACCACCGACGACGCATACACCACCACCGCCGCCAGTAGCACCACCGCCACCAGCACCACGACCAGGACCAGGACCAGCAACCACGTCACCGTCCCGAATAGAACCCCTTCAATCCAAAAAAGACCACATAGACACAACGATCCTATATCTGTGGCATATATAATGCCCCGCCAAGACGTGTGGAGTCCAGAAAAGCTTACTTCGGAGCCTACCCCCGCCACACCGTATTCGGCCGTAGTTGCCGAGCGCTGCTGAGCGCTGCCCACCGTCAGCGTCTCGGACAGCCCGTTGCTGGGAAGCAGCTGAAACCTCGGATTCGCAAATACAGATCTCTTCCTGATGAGTACATTAGAGTATCCCCATAACGATAAGCCTGACATTTGCATTGCCTGACATTTCCCTTTATGACTTTATTACACTTGTTAAGCCATGGAGGGGGTTGGAGCCTGGAGCTTCCGATTTTCGGGTGAGAGCTTTGGGTTCGGGGCTTGGGAATGGGGTTCATGCCCTACAGTAGACATGTCCAGCCCCGATGCTTAGCACGAACAGCCAAAGCAGCCGTCAACGCAGCTTCTGGTGGTGTACTGCTCAAAGCTATTTTCAATGTCGGAAACCCTGAGCTCGAACGCATGGCTTTTCCTGCGTTTTTCTGCTTTTCCATTCAGTATGTGCGAGGTTTCTGCTGTTTTGATTACATCGGACTTTGAGGCTTTTTCAGGCAGTTGCCAATTTCCGCTTTTCTGCTTCTGGGTAGTGTGGGGGTGCGGGGGGTGCCGGGGGTGCGGGGAAGTGTTTAATGTCGTCTGTGCCGGGGCGGCTGGGGCTGCCCAACTCAATCCAACGTGAGCTCTTCGTGGCATTCTGCAGCCCAGCCACAGATAGTCGAAAGCCATGGAAGCACGCCAGCGGCTTCCATAGAAAGCCCAACGGAAGGCGTCCTCATGCAGCAACAGGTACGCTTCAGCTGCCGCTCTTCGGGGCGCAGAGTGTCAAGGGCAGCACGAATCATGTGAATCTCGAAGGCGTCACCTGGAAGAGCTCTTTCTAACCCTGTGATGCACTTCTCTCTTTGCAAACCCTGTGATGCACTTCTCTCTTTGCGCAGTCCCCCTGTCTAGTAGGTACCTCGTCGATCGTGCCCGTGGCTATGCAAGAAACACATGCGAGCACTGGAGCATCGCTGGGCGCACAGGCCCTCAATAAAAAAGATCTTGGCATATCTTGTCGCGGCGCCACCTGTTACCTCTCGACGTGAGGGTCCTTAAAATTTAGCCAACTCGAAACTGGACTGTCGGTCATGAAGTGAACCTTCGTCTCCAACCGCAGCAGATATGAAAGGGTTCTCTAGATTTGGAAACTTTCGTATAATGCAGGCCCTGAAAAGGGACCCCAGTTTAGGGAACCCGCATATGCATGTAGCCATCGTGAGGTCCATGGAGGACATCCAGGCTGCAACGGAGTGCTCTCTCGAGACACATGGAAACGCTGATTGGCGAAGCTTCCGAAATCTTGTTCTTGTGCTAATCCACACCACAGTTTCGCAACTTGAGGCCCGCACCTCAAAGGTCCTGAAGGTGAAACGCTGGCTCCGTACTCTAGTCGGAAAGCTCTACAATCTAACACACAAAACTGCATTTCCCAAGGTCCTAGGCACTAAACTCTAAACTTTAGGCTCCAAACCCCAAACCTCTGAAACCCAAGAACGCGATCTGACTCGTGTTGTCCTCGAGGCGCTTCGCACTTCGGGGAAAAGTTGGCGCCTCTCAGCAGGAAGCTTGGTTGATCTCTGTTGGGAACCAGTGGGGTCCAGGGCTTGAGGCTTGTAATTCTGAAAGGCTTGGCCAACCACGCATACGGGTTGTTGCAGCTTGTTTGAGATGCATTGCCGACGCGCAGAGTTGAGCTGGTTCCTTCCGTCTTCCTCATAACACAGCTACAGCTCATCTGGCTGCCAACATCCCCTAGACGAGACGGGCGGGGTCAGTTCAACAAGATCCAAGGAGAATATGAGGTTCGTCACTCTTCACTGCAAAACATATGGAAGAATGGCAGGCAGCGATGGGGTGCGATTATGTGCATGAAAGCAGGGTCGGACCGAAACCCTGCAAGCTGTATGGAGTATGCCGAATGCAGCCCGGCAGAACTCACGGGGTCAGCAAAGCAGCCCAACAGCTGTGGCTCAGCGAGGCACCGAGTGCCAACTCCATCATCTTCCAACCAGGACTTCAGACGCTCCGCCTCTCCGAGCTGAGGAAAATCTCGGATCGTTTCTTTAAGAGAACTAGGCGATGCAATGGCGAGAGTACGAACGAGTGGAGCCGCCGGCGGACACGGACCGAGCCATACCAAGCCTCGGGCTGGCGATCTGAGGCTATGATGGGAGCCTGCCAAACGCGGAGTCAAGCGAGCTCCCGGAGCTTGTGCCAAACGATATTCCAGGATGATTCTTCAGGATGCCAACGCAACCATCAAGAAAACGAACCTCCTCCAACTTATCCTATTGGCACCAGGGGACGATTTGTCCGTGACCCGCACGCGCCGCACATGGCCTGAGCTTCGGGGCCACTTTCCGACCCTTCCTTGTTGTAAGGGATCCTCCAGCCCGTGCTCTTCATTGCGGCTTGCTCGTCTTGGTTGGCGTGCTTCTCGACGATGCCGTGCTGCTGGCTTGACTTGGGACTTCACCATGCCCTGCATCCGCAGAGGGTCGGAAAGGTCTCCGTCAGATACGCGTAGTTTAAATTCGGGTGCCTGCTGAAGCCGACCACATCGCTGATTGCTCTTCTTGCATGCGGCCTGGTTCGGCTGCTCGAATTGGAGCGACACACATCCACAGTTTCCTTCCCGGCATGCTCTACAGAGACTCTGCGGGTGATGAGTCTGACCCTTCCCCGTTCCGAAACCCATTCTCTGCGCCATACACTTGTTCCTCTGCCTTCCCCTCAGGGTCTGCTTGCGGGAGGCGCTGTCGCTGCGTCGTACTGATTTCAATCGTATGCGATAAACGGGACGGGCATATCATATATCTGTCAGGGTCGCCCCTCCAAACGGTTCAGTATCCTGGTTTTTCTTTCCCTGGTGGTGGGGGGGCGTTCTTCTGGGTTTCAGAGGTTCTAGCGCCGAGAACGCCAAAAGAGCCGTCGTGCCCTCGCTGTCAGTAACCGTGTTGGCCAGAGAGAGGGCGAGAGAGCGAGAAGGCGGGGGAGGGACCGAGAAGAACAACGTGGGCTCCAAAGGCTTGAAACTTGAGCCTTGAACTAAAATGCTTTGTAGCCATTTGTTTAGGCGTAAGTATCGTCTTGAAGCACATCGCTCTCCAGATCTGGGGGCTTCGGAGTCTGAAAAGTCTGAAATCTCCGCCCGAAGCTCCAAATCCAATTCCCTGGCAGCAAACGTCTAGACCCCTAAACTGCGCATGTAAACCAGCCTAACAGGCCCCAACATGCTAAAGCCCCTCAGTCAAGTCTCAAGCACTTCACCCCCAAACCCCCCTGCAGTTCGGCTTTAAGGCATAGGATGGTACGCTTTATGGGCGTTACTTGGTTCTTATTCCTGTTTAGGATTTCGATTCTGGACTGCGGCCTCTAGGTCTAGAGCTTGCGTTTCGGATTGGGACCCGCTGGTCCAAACCCGGCACCTCCATGTGGTGATGCACGAAGCTCTGGAAGTACCGCCAGAAGCCAAAGACAGGAAACGCCACAAAATTCCTCGACAGATTTGCTGTGAGTGGGTGACGGTGGTGCCGTTTAGGCCTCAGACCGGACGTTGGGCCGCAGAACAGGACAGGCAGAAAACCCGGTGTTTGCTGTGCGATGCTGCCGTTTATGCCGCAAACTCTGCGCGCCCTCCGCGCAAAATCGCCTCCATGTCCCAACCATGATAGCGTCCAGATCAGACTTCATTCGTTGCCAGCAAGAATCCATGTCCTGTCAGATGCTCCTCAGCATGCACAAATTTATCTTGCTGACATAAGGGTTGCACTCTGGCGCAACCACAACAGTTGGTTGCGGGACACGTGCAGCTGCAGGGGACGTGCAACTTATAAAAAGAACTCTTCTCGCAACGGCATCCCGCCCGAGAGGTGATGCATTAGGATGTATAGTATTTAAACAAACATCATCCTGACATGAGAGCTTCTGCTAGCCGTCGCAAAGACGGTTTATATGGTATTTACACGGGTTTCCTACTTCTCAACATACTTGGTCTTTTGGGTGCACGGCAAGACGCCCGGTCGGAGCGCCGTTGAGGGTTGGGGTCAAACGGTCTACCCGAGTTAACAATGTTCCAGCCCTATTCAGTGCTTCTTTCTAACCCCCTGGTTTGCAGGCCTATGTTCCTGTGCTGTGGTCTTGAGGAGCGTTGGGAAGGGGAACGTCGTTTGAGCAAGGAAGTCAACCCTCTTCAAAAAATGCGCTTGCAACCACCCAGCACGGTTTTGCATGCCGTGCTGATCCCTGAACTCTGAAAGAGAGGGAGAGAGAGAGAGAGAGAGAGAGGCAGCGAGCTTCGATACAGGTTACGTAAGCATTTATAAGTTCCCATCCCTCAGCCTTTTTCTGCCGAAGCATTTTTAGGACTGTACTGTAGTCTTGCCTAATCCCCCAGCCAAAATTCCTCCTGAACAGACTCTTCAAGACTGGGGAGCCTCTCACGCTTGGGGGAGGAGGTACGTGGTTTCGGTCTTGGGGTCTTGAAGGTTATCGGGATTTATGCTTGAAGGTTGTGTCTGCTTGTACGGTTCCTATTCATTCCCAGCCCTACAGCCTGTGGCACCGGCATGAGCTTCGGGGTGCAGACTCGGGGTATCCGTAAGCCTACTCTTCGATGCCTCGTTTCAAGTGAGGTTTCGAAACTGCAAGCTGATTCAACACAACAGCGACAAGTCCACACCACCCTGCGCACAGCAAGCCCCCATAATAAGAGCTTGATGCCTACCCGTCCTGCAAACTGCGACACGCCCGGTAGTCCACGATCCGCTCTAAACTCCTTGATTCCGAGATTCCGAAACCACAAGCCAAACGGCAAAACCCTCGTAAAATGAGCAGGGAGGCATGGTGAGAAGCAGCTGGCCCAGTGGAGCGGACTCCCATAGCAAAGCTCTGAGACTTGAGTCGCCTTCCTGATCCAAAGCCAAAGCCAAAAACATTCGGGCTGACTTCTCTCAAGTTTCAGATTTCTTAAAGGGTCCTTCAACAAAGGCTTCGGGGCTCTAAGACACCAAGGGGTTGGGGCTAGGGTTTGCGGACGGTTACGGCTTAATAGCCTCTATCGCAGTCTTCACTGTCGAAACCCTCACCTCTACCTCCTACTGTAAGTCTTAAACTTAAACCCTGTAAGACGCAAGCTTTATAGAACCCTCATCAGGAATCCTGCAACCCAGACAACCCAACGAAAAGGAAGTGGTCAGTAGAAGCTTACGCCGGAGCGCAACCCCAACAAAACACGAAAAGTGGGCTGAGGATCTGCATGGCGTTGAAGCTATTACATATGAACCCCTTGGCGCTTGTCCGTACATACTATGTAGGTACCTGGACGACCCGTAAGGCAACTTTACATCGGACTGGATTTTAAGGCTGTTCGGACGGTGACTGGTTGCTTGGCCTGGTACTGCGGGTGAAATGTTTTGGGAAAGCAGCCGGACTCTGGGTTCGCCTTTGGGATCTCGGAGTATGACCGGCGGAATTAATGCCGGAGTTCAGTCGTCGGCACTTGCGCTTCGATAGTTCGGTCTTTTCTTGGGTCCGAAGGGCTGTGATGTAGCTGGCGTCCCCCGCGTAGACGAAACCCCAAAAGATGCAACTGGCAAAGTAAAGCGGCTGGCAGGCGAGCGGAAGCCTTGCGCGAAGCGTCGCACTCGGAGAGGTCAGGCGTTGCGCCAGACAACCCTTCATCTGTTCCATTCAATGTTGATTGAGGTGTTCCGAAGCAAGGCGTGGTGAAGTATGCATCAGGCATTCCTACAAGCAGCCTCCACATCCCTGCTGCTGTTGAGGGTTCGGTCCAGTATGTTCCGCGGCTTCGAGCGAAGAGCCAGGGTGTTCCAAGCTTCTTGCTTCATAGGGCTGGGATCTGGTTTCAAAGTTACCTTAAACCTCACAGCTCCAAAGAGTTCAGGCCCTACCCGGTCCAACACCGGACATCAAGGGGGGCTCCACAAGTGTAGAGGCCTAAATCCGCAGACTCGGGTTTCGGAGTGATTGATCCTGAGAGCTATATACTATAGGGCTACTAGGGTAGCCCACATGACGCAAACATTCCTGATTCAGGGAAAATCGTCTCTCTGTCTCGCCTTTATTCCAGCGGACATCCCCCCAACAGTGCTAGAGCACCACATCAACCAAAACGACCACGACCACCAAGAGAACCACAATGCTTCCCCCATGCACCGGCGGGATTCAGGTGCGCGGCCAAAATGATGTCCCCAGTGTACTGGCGGGATATAGGACCACAGCGCTAGCGTTTTCTCTCGTTTGCTGACGGGATTCAGGAGCACTGCCCAAATTCAACATGATCTCCGTCAAAAGAAACCGCGCTGCTTGGGGAATAAACCCCTTCTAAAGTCCCCCAAAAGGCACGTTCAAGAAACCTACGGCTCCCTATGCTGCTCAAACATGCACCACGAGAGTCAGACCAGAACGACAAACCCCGAACCTAATCCCAGAGTCCAGCAAACTCAAGCCTTCCGCATACGTCTTAATTTCAATCCTGAATGTTTTGTCTTTTATTTGCTGCCTTGGCAAGTCAGAGGAAAGGTCTCGCCGCTTTTGCAGCATCTGCACCCTCGGCTTGCTGGTCAGGTTGGGGGTTTCTGCGTTGTTCTGAAACTTCGGAGTTAGGATCAAAGCGCTGGTGAAACAAGTGGTGCTCTAGTGCTGAAAGCAGCAAGGCAAAGCCCCGACTCTGAACAGGCGCATTTTCATCCCTGACGGTGCTATGCACATCATCTACAATGGCTGCATGATCCAGGCGCACGAAATGAATATGTGATGCACGGGGCACGTAGTTCGAGAGGAAATGACTGAATACACGAGTTTGATACTGGGTAGTCTTGATAAATGTGACTGCCGAAGAAGCACAGATATCTGACTACGACGATCCGGAAAATAGGCACATGATCGGTGCAGCAGAGTTGTAACTGTGTTCGATTCTGAATTCTCCAGACGTGCTTGGAAGGGTGGATGTTGGCACCACAGCACTAAACTCACAACAAGAGCCTGTGTCGTTAGTAGCATTTGGAATGCCCACAAAACTCCCTACGCGTCTCAAAAGACAACCTGTTTTTTTCGTCTTCGGCAGCAGCAGGGAACATTAAGGCGAACCGGGCTTCTGTCCTGCTACAAAACTGCGAAATTTGTAATTATCGCCTGTTCCTACATCTGTTTCAATGGATGCAGCATCTTTCGCTCATGAATTTAGTCGTGCAAAATGCGTTGTGATTGCCTGTTTGAGGCTTGCTGGTCAGCCTTGGGAGAATTGATGTGTCAGGCCGGCTGCTCGGTTCCTGCCGACAGCAGGGCCACCGCGGCAAATGATTTCAAACGACTTTCAACACGCTTGGACATATGTTCCGTTCGATTGGACATATGTACCCGGAAACCATTCAACAATGAATTTAATTTCACTTGTCGCAACTTACATAGCCACGATGTCACCGTTTCTGGTACCATGTGGGTCACATAACATATGTCAACTTAACGTGCTGTGATTTTTGTCAGCGGCTCTGTGTTCTGGTTTGCTGAGATTGTGCTTGGGTATGTTCCAAGCCCTCTGAACCTGAACACCCCCAAACCCCATGTAACCCTAGACCCCTCAATCCAAAGGCCCAGGAGCATTTGGTGCCCAAAGTCATCCTCCAGGCTACTCTTCCTGGTAGTATAGGAGCCGTTAAAAAAACTTGAAGGGGCGGAAAAAAAGGGTTTCATGCACTTTTGTATAGGGTTTTCAAGGTTGTAGCGTAGGGTTTACACGCACTCGAACTCTGCAAATGAGGTTTGCGCGCAAGCATGGTGAAGCACTACATGTTGGAGCACATGGTTTCAGAAGTACTGAAGGGCTTCGAAATACGACACGCCCAAAACAAACACAGAAACAACGGTGGTATAGGTCGGTACTGGCATGAAGTCAGATTCGTATACAACGAGCTGTCTGACGCTGCGTCTAAGTTCACGCCAGAGTGGAACCAACACCACATGGAAAGATGCATTAAAACAGGGTTGGCTATATTGTTAGACAAGCCTTCTCTACATGAAGTCAGCATGCCAATTTCATCTCAAAACTGCACAAGTCAGTCGACGCGGGCTCTATATAAGGTACTCTCGCACGGTCAAGCCACCAGGGTCGGTGCCAGTGCAACCATGTCGGGACACATTGACATGTCATCAGGAAGAGAATAGAATCTCTTCACATCACCAAGCGTTCCTCCAGACAGTCCGCACAGAATATGTTCTAGCTCCCGAAGACGCGTCCAAGTCCGGCAGCATCAATAACAGAACATTCCTGTCCGTCCTGTCCACATATCGACCCACTTCGCCAAAGTAGCTTGTCCGAACTCATCGGAAACGCGGCGTGTCACTGGAAACGAGAACTGTAGCTTCGCGGCCCACCTATGTCCGAACTCATCGGAAAAGCGGCGTGTCACTGGAAGCGAGAGCTGTAGGTTCGCGGTCCACCTACGTGGGAGAACTTTTACTTTCAAGGCTTCACTCGCAGAAAATCAGGAACAACCTCCTCGTTCTCGCGTGGTCGAATGATATCCCATTCCATCCCATCGCACGGTAAACTTCCCCTATGAACGAAGTCTGCTCATCCGTTGGAAGCTTCACATGGTTCTGCAGCAAAGCAGCAATGCTCTTCGCTAGATTGTGCTGCGGAACCTCAGTTGAAAAAGTTTGGAGCAACAAAGAAGCGAAGAACTGCTCTTCATTGCAATAATTTTGCAAAGAGAAATTCTCGATAGCATCTTTGGTCAAGTTCATTCTTGTCGGGCCCTTGACGTTGTCTTCAACAGAGAAAGTCGTCATGGCCAATGTGACTCCAAGCGATCTCATAGTCAAACAAGAAGCTAGCATACCAGATGCCGCTCGTCCTAGTACAGAACAAAATTTCAAGTTGACAAGTCCCAGTGCGGGGCAGCGTCTGTGTTGACAAAGCCTCCATGGTCGTCAGGAAGCTTGATCTAGTGTGCGAATAGGTGTTCAATGCCGTTGTTGTGGTGCCCCACCCCAATCGCGCTAAAAGGAGTAGTGAGTGCTCTGCCTGTCTTGCCGAAGTTGGGCAACAGAGTTCTTCGCGACTTGACTAAACAAGGCTTTACAGACCAAGTTCTAAAGAAATGCTCATGCCCAGATCAGCCTCCATTCGGACTTGACCCGCGTCTTCCCCGAATGGGGTCTGTGACGAAGACCTCCCGAATCATCTCTGAAGGGGAAGCATTTCAAGTTTCATCAGCCGCGACTACTGTCAGAATGATTTGGCAGATGACTCTGTGCTGCACATGCCTCCTCTCGTCATCTGAATCCAGCCACGCACACAGACTTGGCTTGTCCGGATTCTGGATGCAAACCCGATCGACTTAGTCCCTTCAAGACTTCGGGCTTCAACGAAAAATCAAGAATCAAGGTGAAGCCCGGAAAGAAGATCTGGAGTCTTTCTGGCTTGTTGGCAGAAGCCGACTCAGTAGCCAATGATCGTTTGGGCAAATGCTGAACTCTTTTCATTTGTGATGCTCTTCCAGTTGTCCGTGACTGCCATCATCGCCAACTTGACTTTTTATCGACCCCAGAGCTCCAGACGATGAAGCTACATCCTCTGCGGCTCCTATTGCTCCAGAAATCGTCGAAGACAGGCTGACACAGCTACTAGGCGATGGCCAAGGTGTCAGATCTTCTCTGCGCGAACCATTGTTCTTTGCTAACACAGAGCCAGTGCCGGCAAGGAGAGTTGTTAACAGTGCGAAGAGCTGGGTCCTGGGTGCAGAAGGATCACGAGGGAGTTTTACACACTCCACAAGTTCCTGGGAAGCTGGACCTTGGACCATACGAGACTTCAGTTACAATGAAGTCTTCAGAGGGTCCTCTCAACCCTAAGAAAAGAATCCGCTTTCCGGAAGCCAGAGCAGCAAGCTAACGATCAACGACGAGCATCATGGTAACTCAAATAGGTTGATTTCAAGCAACAATAAAGCAGGATCCGACTTGGACTGGCATTTCAGCTAGCCTACCTGCGATTCTCACGAAGGGATGAAGAATGACGAGTTCTTTTTTAAAGAGCAACTTGTGCACCTCCCGAAAAGGCAACACCAACCCGAGGTTGTGGCTTACCGCAAGGATGGGCTTCCTCCTTTTGCCAAGAAGGAGGCTTACACCTCGGGTTGCAGCGCTCGCAGCTAGGCACAGCCGAGCGAGGATCCGGCACGACGACAAGAGCCTATGAGCCACGCAACTACCTTCACTCCTACCTAGCAAGGACTAGCCACTCAACTTTAGCGTTCTTTTTCTCGCTCGTTGCACTCCGCAGCCGTAGGCTCCCGCATGCACTTATGTAATTCGAAAACCCCGGATGGACGCCATCCGCCGGGTGCCCTGATTCCTTTGGAAGCAGGTTACAGGCTTTACCCAGCCTTGGCTGGACGCCAGCCAACAGGCTCCTGCTTTTGGTTTCTGGAGAGGCCCGCTCAGGTAGACAGATCCCCCTCTCCGGCGTCTCGCGTTAGCCTCCGCGAGGGAGCCATTCTGAGCTGACCTCCTGACTGCGTTGCCACGCCTTGCTGGTTGAGGCACCCAGCAAACCGCCCCGCTTGGGCAGCAAAGTGCTCAAAAAGAGCCGGTAGCCTTTCTCTGGTTGGCGTCCTTAGCTGTCGTAACAGCTCAGGGCCACCTCCACCCCATTGGGGGTATGGCAAGCTTGACCAGCTCCCCAAGTCGTAGAACCGGACACTGTTATCCGTATTCAAGCCCAGGTTGGAGATCGTGATGTCTGCCACCCTGACCCTGCAGGCTCCCAGCCAGGTAACCACGGCAAGCAGGTAGCTGAACCATTCTCTGACTATCTCCGGCGTTTGGGTGTTTAGCCAAGGCTCGGCTTTCCTGTTCACTTTCTCCTGAACCAGGCAGTGGAGCACAGCATACTCTGCATGGGCGCCCTGCCCAATGCGAACATTCAGGGGCCCCGCGTGCACCACTATAGCACACAGTTTGGCGAACCGGGTGCTGTAGTACTCCTCAGACCCATGGTCGTAGGCAAAAGTCGTGATTTTGAGCAGGTAAGAGCCCGTCCAGGCATACACAATTCTCTGGTTGCCCTTGCCTTCCATTTGCATGGGAACCGGTCTTAGCGTTTTTTTTGACACTCACACTCGGACAAGCCTGGTAAGGTCTGGAGCGATACTGCTTCGGACGACTCGTTAGCTACCTACTCAGCATATTCACCGAGCAGGCGCGGCTGCGAGGGCAGGCTAAGACTTAGACCAAGCACAACAACAGTGAAGCAACCGATAGAACAAGCCCATGTGACAGCAGTCCCTCAAACAGGTGCACTCGAGCCTAAACCCAAACCAAACAACCAAGACCTTCTTGAGCCGTGCGAAGGACCCGTGAAACTAAAGACCTCTTATCCTGCGTAGCTGCCCCGTTCCCTCACTCTTCCCACATGCTCAGGCTTTTCGGGTTCAGGGAGGGCTTGGGGTTTCGGCCAACACTGTCAGTGCTTTCAGGTTCGAATTCAGTTTGCCAGTCGGACCTACCGTTTGTGATTTTGGCCCGGACAAGGGGCCTTCGTTCTTCGAATCTGGTTGTCGAGCCATTATGTGCGGGAGATAGCGAATGAAAGCGCTAACCATTCATTCCGATCCGAATATTGAGCACAAGTAACAGCTTGAAAAAGCTTACAGTTGAGTGGGCTCGGGATTTGGGGTTTGGTCGGTCACTCCAGGCGAGGCAGTACGGAACGAGGCCAGATGGAGTGGATGAGTGAGAGCTGGACTACCACAGCTAAACTCCAGTCCGGGTGGGCAGTCAGACTGCATGGGAATCAACCGCGCTCGCTGCACCAGATCCTGATCGTTAGGTCCTCTATAGTAAACATTTTAGCCGACCGAACCGGATGCCCTAAGTAGTTTCATTCCTGCGAACCAAAGCCCAAACATCAGACATCATGATACCCTACCCTTCTCTGTACCAGCACTGTGGCAGCTGGACGTTGATAAAGTCCTGAAGCTGTAATCCCTGCTTGCCCAGCGGCAGCCACTTCGATCCAAAGTTGGCCCTTGCAGACTCTGCCACGGACCGAACCTTGCTTCAGGGCTTCAGAAATGCTACGGGTCATTAGCCGTAGGATCACGGTTTAGGGTTTCAAGGCGAAGCCGTTGAGCCTAAATCCCGAGTCCTCAATCCCTCAAAGCCCCAAGCAAGAAAGAGGCGAGGCACCATCTCAGCGAAGCGCTTCAGAATGGAGCGCTGCCGGCGTGGGAAGCCGGAGAAACAGAATCCATCCTTTTTGCATGGGCACGGGTTTTCGGGCTCATTTTTTTTGCACGTCCGATTCAGTCGCTGGATCCGGGTTCTGGGGAATTTCGGGAAATGAAGTGACTGCGAAGGTTGGGGCTTCCACAGTAAGCCCTAGTTAAACCCCAGCTACATCCCCAACCTGCGCAATGTCGCTGTTTTGTACACTGGCTTACAATGTTAGGCCTGTGCGACCTTTGCCCCGTTTAGGTGGGACACGTAACGGGTGCCCCTGTATTTAAATGAAGGTCTTGTGGGTGGCCTGGCAATCTTTTCCTATTGTTGGTTTCTGGTTCGTTTTCGTTTTCGTTTTTTTGGCTCCTCTGGGGTCTGTCTTCTCGTCCAGGTTGGGCTCCTTACTGGTTTCTTGCCATAGCCCTACGTCAAGGTCCAACATTCTCACTTAAGTACATGTCGTCCCTTTGTCGTTGTGAGTTTGCGGGCTCGTGAACACTATCCGACTATCCACACAACAAGCAAAACATGTGAACGCCATCAGCGAGTTCCACACACAAACGCACAAAGACACACAGACACACAGAAACGCCTCATGAAGAAGAGCTGCAAATTCCCAATACAAAGGTGTAGACAAACGACCAATGTCTTGCGTATGAAAAACCGAATCCAATAGACTTTGCACCTGCCAGTTAAAAGCAGTCAACACATACATCAAGAACAACGAGTGTTATCGTACATGGGAGAACCAGGCAATGACTATGTAATGGCTTGTGTACACAGTAATCGCTTGGGCAATATACAACCGTGAGGAAAAACGATTTCATACGGCTATTACAGATAATAAAGCTTAAAGAATACGCACGTAATAAAACACCGCCCATCCCATCCATGTTAGACTCAGCACAACTCGGAATACGGATATACTGTGACCACGGGTAGATACATGCACCTGACAGAAACCTATGGAAAACAGATTGGGGAGGCTGAAGCGTGTCAAAAATAATGGTTAAATTTTTAACGGTTAAATAATCGTTCAAGCAGGTGGTACTCAAGCAATGGAGTCTAGCGCTTACGCCTTCGTAGAAGGCCTTGCTACCTAGTTTTCTGGTGAAGATTGGCACCAGACCAATCATGCCTTTATCAATGCACAGTGAGCTGATGCCTCAAACGACTTGAAGATATAAACAATATAAACCGTCTAGGATTTCCTGGACAAGTCTCACAATTAATACTGACATGAATTTCATCCAGGCTCAGCCCGCCATGCAGTATTCATGACTGCAATGCGGGCAGCGCTACTTCGCAGCGGCCAGCTTCTGACACAGCTTGGCATGCAACTGCCGCCCTAATGTGCTTGTTGCACTGGACAGGACGTGCTCAGAAAACAGGCGTGGAGTGGGTAAAGAGGAAGTGGAATGACAGCCAGTTGCCAAGTTAAGCATTGAATGATATAGGAAGTTGGTTAGAATGCAAAGCTCGAGCAAAGCGATGAAAGCCACAAGTGCAAAGAGCGAAACGTGGGCAAGACCTCCGAGCCCGAATAAGCACAACGACAAAGGGATGACATATACCTAAGTGAGAATGTTGGATCCACTACGGCAATGGCACGAAACGAGGAAGAAGCCCAGTCCAGACAAATGAAAAATATGCCCCCAAAAGAACCAGAAAGTTGGCGACCATAAAGAGAAGACAAGCCCCAGAGAGGTAAAGCTCAACGTGAAACAGCAACAACACATGAGAAAGGATAGGAGACAATGGTTAATCGCATACACTGAGACGCACACGACAACATACAACAGCCCTGAACCAGGACCTCTTTCCGCCATGGTTTTTGACCCACCACGACGCAGCATCAGGGCTTGAGGGTTCAACAACAAATGGATCAGGAACTCCCAGCTACTTCTAGGTTCTAGCTTACTAGGATTGCTACGACCCAGATTGCATCGGGATGTGCTTCAAAAAGCAGAGCTCTACAGCTATTGAATATGCTATTTATAGATTCACCCCGAGATCTCTTGGGGACCCACCTGGATGGTGATGTTCACCTCTGTTGATGGGAGTCTGTAGGATCCTCCAGAAAGGAATCACAGTTTGAAAAAGCTACGAAATGGTGCACACTTTTCTTCTTTCTCTTGGGATTCCGCTGCCATCGCTGAAGGTCTCTGCTCCATGCAAGGATCCGCCCGAAGTGTCTTTAGAAGTTCTTTGTTCTGTTGAGCCGGGATTTGGCCCCTCCGTAAAGCTGACGGAACCCCGGGTCTGTGAGAGCAAAGAGAAAGTTCGAAACACACGCCGAATGCCTGTCAGGGAACTGGGAAGAAGGAAGAGTGCGAGAGCACAGACTTGTAGCGGCAACAGCCGCATCTTCACGAGACTGACCAAAACCCTACGGAGAAGCGGGGTGCGCACAGTGTTGCTAAGACGAGGAGTTGCTGCCGGTGCTATATCCCCGCGTGTTTGCTTGCTTAAAGTTTGTTTGTGCTGCGTTCCGCCCGGTTGCGGATGAGAGTTCAATAGAGGGGCCTTGGTAATTCGGGTCTGGTGGTGTATGCCAGTTCTGTGATGTGATAATACAGTTATGTGAAAATCAAATATTCTGTTACTAGTCTTGCAATAGAGAAACGAAGCAGAAATTAGAGACAACTGTCGCGCTGCCCGCAGGAAGACAAGATCCTAGGTCCCGAACCTGCCAATTTGCCGTGGAGGGCATGCAGATGCCACTGCGCCCTGAGATCCATGCAGTGCCAAGCTGTGGACATGTATGGCAGGAGACAGAAACAGGGTGAAATCCATGACGCTCTTGGAAGCTGTTCGCAGCATGCTTGCCTCATGCCGTTCTAAGGATCGGAGGAAGCATGGCTTCCAACATGCACATTCATCAAACGTCCCACAAACTCCTGATCCCTGTTTCTAACTGAAGCCCTGCAGTGCCACCCTGTAGCACATGTCCCGAGAGCACATTTGCAGGCTCATGGCTTTAAACGTACCTTAGCTTGTGGCATGCCCCCGCTTGACCTTCTTAGTACAAGTAATCTTCTTCAGAAGAAAAAACTCACACATATTTAAACGGGGGATGCAACAACCACATCGGATTGTGATTTAGTCTAGAGAGTCGGATTTGGGGAACCCTGCGAAAGTGGTCGAGCTTCGGCTGCTCCCCGGCGGCAAGCAACGCAAGTATCGGCCACCTTCGCGGCAGTCGCACGAAGTCCAGTCTCCCCAGCAGGAGTACAATTTATGGCTTCGCGGTTTCGGTTTCAGGATTTAAGGAGTTGAGTGCGCTGTTGCTACCAGAGCCAAGTGCGCGATTGAAACGACAGAAACCCACCTCCGCTGCACTCCACCCTCGCCTCGACCTAACATGTTCAAGGTGGCGTTGTTCTCTGACGGCACTTTGGATGCGCTTTGGTTTGTCTTGAAAGGTTCGGTTCGGATTTGTGGCCGCAAGGAAAGCACAGGCCACAGTTTATAAAAAACGGCAAGACAATTAAGTCTAAGCCTTGGACTTTCGGGGCCCTCCTAGATGCTGTGGAGCATGTGGTCCGTGTTGCATTTGCCTTGCTCCTCGTGGCAACAGCATTTTGGCCGTGCTCCTAGATCGCGCCAGTACTTGGGAAAGGCAGTTTTGCCGTGATGTCCCCGTGGCAGTCTTCTAGTGTGGTCTTTTTGCATCAGGACTTGCGCAATCGCCTGAATGTTTGGTCTCCTGCAGGCATGCTCTTGGTCCTTATGTCGGGCGTCAATGATTAAACCAGGGTCTGTCTCTACGAGCGTTGGGGATTTAATTGAAGTTTGGGGCCTGAGCAATTCGACCAGGGCTTGGGGGGCTTCCTATCTATAGGTAGGCACAAGCGAGATTGCGCGTGAAAAGCTCTAAGCAGATCTGCACAGCACTCTCACTAAGCCTGCCTGCTCCATAATAGGGAGGAGTATCAAAACTAGTCATTTCGGCGTCTACAGTGAGGGCTACAAAGAGCTGTCGCTTGCTATGGATCATGCACCATGGTGCTCTTCAGATATGTAGATACCCCCGAATTGCAAGCAACTCCCAACCTCCTTGAAAGCTGCTGCCGGGACGCTCAGTTGCTGCCAGTGTCGCCAGCACATTGAGTCTTGCAGCCTACAAGCTTGGAGTATTGGTTTTTGGTTCAGAGTTTCGGCGTAGGGTTCTTTTCCCTGTCGCATGGCTAGTGGTGATCAATGCCCATTCCTCGCTTGTGAGCGTAGTGGAGCATACTTCAGGTCTCGCAATCCATGATGGCAGAAGGGTTGATGCATAAGGTCTAAGAGCGAATGGAGTCCACAACTGCCATGTCTTTGGTGGCTTGCGAGGACAAATCAGCCAAAACCACATTTGGCAAGGGTATGCCGCGACATGGAATCAATTTGAAGTAGCTGAAGAATTTCCACAACTGAATCGAACAGGTGTTAAACGCTGGCCGCTGTCACTGCTCAGCGAGACTTCAAACATAACATATTTCCTTCTGTCAATACGAATGACAGACGGGCGTGAATCTTGGAAGCTTGGAGCACTTCATTTCGAGACAATTTGTGTGGCACTGTCCATCGATTGAAGACTCGTGCGAGAAACACCTGCACAGCCGTTGAACGCCGCAACCACTGATTGTACAGGCTTGCAGAAAGCCACATGCAGCTTACCCGACAACGAGCAACACATGCAGAACAAACGTGAATCTACTAACACGAGAGATGGCGGCAATCACAAGACTACAAACATGAAGCTGGAAAGAAACCAATCAGGAAAATAGTGCACAAGAGCAGCAACATGAAGCTGAATGACCAAATCGCGTGTGTGAGTTGTTATTCCACCAATCCCGACACCAACACTAACACAGTAACTCCGACCGCCAGAGCAAGACAAATGTTTGCCCAGCACATACCAGTATGAAGTGGAAGAGTTAGTACGCATAGATGAGCCCAAAAGGAAAAAGGGTTCGACATCAAGGGCCGAGAGCGGCAATGCTATTGACCCCTATAGACTACGAATATCAATGCAGTTCATTTCACCATTTTGACATGATGCAGTATCCCCCACATATTCAACAAGAGCCATACACTGCATACACACGGGGCCTTCATGATCAGACTAGATTTCGGCGCTCACACTCGGACAATCCAGGCGAGGCATGTGGTCTTAAGTCGGCGAGGTGAGACAAACCGAGTGTCGAGAGGACCCGCAGCAGGGGCTTTTTAAAGATAGCAACCTCCTAACGAGTGCGTGTGTGCGTGTGTGGTCCTCTCCCGCACCGGTGCCCTGTGAATCTGAAGGTTGTCTAGCTCAGGAACTCGGGCACTAAAGGGAAAAACTAACACTTACATCGGGACGATGTTTATGAAAGGGGCCTAATAGAACAATTATTCAGGTGAGATCAAGACCCGGAGCTGGGCCACACTGCCTTTGTGGCGGCCAAGGTCGCTTGCTGGAGGATGTTGCCCGAGGCTTCACACTTCTGGGGCCGCAATGATTTGGGGCTTGGGTCTTGGGGGTTTAGGGCTCTTGTACTCTTGGAGGTTCAGAGGTTTAGGGCTCGGGGCTTTGGACGTTTAGCGGCTTCCCAACATCCCTCAACACATCTGGTGCTGTCGCAGAATCAGTGCAACCCGAAGTTCTGTGAGCTACAAAGGTTCCCGAAAACCTTATAGACCTTGCCATGCAAAGCTGCGCTCGAAACCCTCATCCCGAATAGACGGCTGAGCCCTAAGAAAAGTGCAACAGTCCAGGTCCACCATCCTCCCCCTAAAGCGTTGTCGTGGTGACTTAATTAAAGTGAGTTCCTGATCGGAACCCAGTCCTCGGTGACCATGCTCCAGAATCTCTGGCCCAAGGTCCCGTCCTGCGGGGCTTAGCCGAGAGGGTTCTGAACCCGAAGACCCCCACAGGCCATCAACCCCACACACGAAGCCCCGAAGCCCCAATCCCAAAGTGCCAACGCCGAACCGTTTTCCAAACCCTGACCTTTGGATGGAGGCTTGCGATCAATCATGTCGAAGAGCGACAAGGTAATCGAACAAAACAACTCATGACGACGATAGCTGTGATGATTTGGGGGTGAAGTTTGCGGCGTATCTTTAGGCATCACTTTAAGCTTCGGTCATAAAGGAACACTATCATTATTGCCGACATCATCCCGCAGCCAACAGCCACAAACATTCTGTCTCGCAGCCTCGAGCGCTCTAGATAGCCCCAAAGAAACTCCAAAGCCTTGAAGACTTTAAGCCCAAATACCCCAAAGCCCTAAAACGCTGTTGTATAGGTCTGAGTAGCTACTTAGACTACCCGATTCTAGTCCCTACATAGTCACACTCGAACAAAATCACAAAAGCTCAATCTATAGAGGTATAAGTCGTTCAACTATCCCCTTCAAGCCCTCAGTTTAATGTCCCCCGCTTCTCTTGCGCCTCACGCTTGAAGCTGGTGACCTCTTCGAGGCATCCCAGCCAGGTGGCCGCGGCGAGCGCGGCGATGCCCAAGGGGCACACCTTCCAAGGTTCTAAATATGTTGCGTAGCCTTTTCAGGGTCTTGGTTTGTGTTTAAGGGGGTTTCAGGTCTGGCCTTTGCCGCTTCAGGATTTGGGGTATTGGGGTTTGGACGTTGTGGGTTTAAAGTTTCAATTGTGAAGTGTTGGGGCTTCGGGTTTGGCTTAAGGCTTTCGGGTGAAGCGTTTGCGGTCAAGCTGGACACTTGCAGGGTTTGCTGGGACCTTGAATTTGTAAGCTTGTTTTCGACCCTCTCGTTGGGACCTCCTACAAAGTAGAAGCAAAAGGCAAGCGGAGCCCCACAGCGAGCAAGCCGTGAGCCCGGGGAGCTAACAAAGCGTGAAGACTTCGGGCCTGCGCCAGGATTTTTATGGAGTAACACCCCCCCCCCCCCCAAGTACATATGGTTGGGGAGGGGTGCTGTTTTATGGTTTCGGGGCTCACACTCGGACATGCCAGGCGAGGTTTAGGATTTAGGGCTTACGCTTTCGCATCTCGAACAAGCCAGGCGAGGTCAATTGGGTGCGAGTCGGCGTGAAACTTATCTTACTGCCCACGTCTTTGGTCCTTCGGCTTAAAGGTTGAAGGATTTGGGTTTTTTTTGCCGGAATTTTTCGTCGGTGTTTACGCTCTCACAACTCGGACATGCCAGGCGAGGATCTATAGTCGAAAATCGGCGTGACACAAGCTGCATCGTCGGGGTTTCGGCTCTCAAACTCGGACAAATGCAGGCGAGGCTTGTGGTCATAGATCGGCAAGGTGAAACATGCAACAGAAGCCAGGAGGAAACACTTCAAGCAATAATAACACCCTGCTACGGGGGAATCCCTGGCCTTCCTCTGCCAAACCTCCTACCTGTACGAAAATGCTCTGGTTGAGGAGTTTGGGCCTACTCATATACATAGTTTCGGCGCTCACACTCGCACAATCCAGGCGAGGGGTTTAAGGCTTAGGACGTTAAGATTCAAGGACGTTTGCCTGCAAAGCCCAGGTACAACTATGTTTATAGGCAAAACAGCCAGAATGCACGCACATATTTTTCTTGAGCCAAACAAACAGTCGTAGGTGAATACTAGCTACATCTTCAGCAAACAACACCCCCC